GGGGAAAATTCTGGGATTTTGGGAAGGAATTGGGGGAAAATTCTGGGATTTTGGGAGAAAAATCCTGGAATGTCAGGGGGATTTGGGGGCAATTTTGGGGCAAAATTCTGCAATTTTGGGGAAATTTTGGGACGTTTCGTTCTGTTTTCCTTCCCTTTCTCATCATTCCTATATAATGTAACTTCCCTCCCCCCGCCCCAATTTTTGGGGTCCCGAACCCCAATTTTTGGGCCCCCAACCCCGATTTTGGGGACCCCCCGAGTGATTTCGGGGCTCCCCCTCCCCGAATCCGCAGAGTGGCGCGAGGCCCAGGCCACGCACGAGGCCGAGCAGCGGCAGTGGCGCCTCAGGAACCACCTGCAGCTGGCAGCCAAAGGTGACCAAACCCCCCAAAAACCCCCAAAAAACCCCTCGGAGACCCCTCCCCAAATTCCATTCTTTTTCTTTTCCAGGTCCTCTCCGCCAAACTTTCGCCCAAAACCCCCTGAGCCCCCCCAAAACGGCGCCCACAGAGCCCCAAAAAAGGCCCTGGAAGGACACGCTGGGCTGAGGGGGGGAGGGGGCGGCCCGAAAAATAAAAAAACGCGCGAACGGAGACCCCAGACTCATTTATTTTGGGGGGAAATCGGGTGGGTTTGGGGTATTTTGGGCGGTTGGGGATGCCGTAGCAAAATGGCGGCGCCAAAATGGCGGCGCGCTGGGGGTTTTGCCGTACAAAATGGAGTTCGCGCATGCTCAGTGTGGGCGCCTGTTGTAATTAAAAATGGCGATGTCTTTGTTTACCGTACAGCATGGCGGATCGCAGAAGTTTTGCCGTACAACATGGCTGCCGCGCATGCGCATAGATAAAAGTATTAAAGCGTTGAAGGCCGGCCGCGCATGCGCAATAAGGGAAATTTTCCCCCCCGTGTTTTGCCGTACAAAATGGCGGCGCGCTTGTGTTTTACAATGGAACCATGACGGCCGCGCATGCGCATAGAGAGCAAACAGTGTAATACCGTACAAGATGGCGGCCGCGCATGCGCAGAAATGCGAGACGGCGTTTTACCGTACAAAATGGCGGCGCGCAGCGATTGCCGCGAAAATACGAATTAAAAAGGATAAAAACATTAAAAATTCAATTAAAAACTCCCAAAATCACAGGATTTTTAACAAAATTCCCTACAATTGCATTAAAAGGGGGTGGATAGAAAGGGTTCTGACGGTTCCGTGATGACGGACATTAAAATATCCCCAAAAATCATTAAAATTTTAAAAAACAGTCTTTAAAACACCCAAAAGTATTTTTAAAATCCCTAAAAATGCCTCAGGAATAGTTTAAAGAGTGAGAAACTCTACCAAAAAAATCCTTAAAAAGAATCAAACTCCAGAAAATTACTCTACCATAATCAAACCCCGAAAAACACCGAAAAAGTCTCAAACTCTACAGAAAAAAAAGGGAAAAGCCTCAAATGCAAAAAAAAACCGTAAAAAAGTCCCCAAATCTATAAAATACCTCTTAAAAACTCCCACAGTAAAAAAAAAAGTCATGAAAAGAATAAAACTCAGCAAAAAAAGCTCCGAAAAAGCCTCAAAATCCCACAAAAAAAAACTAAAAAATCCCCAGCAAAAAATAAAAGTAAAAAGCATCAAAAGCAAGGAAAAAAAACCAAAATACCACAAAAAAATAAAAATAAAACTCTAAAAGCGCCTCAAGTTCCAAAAAAATCCCTAAAAATAATTAAATTGCACCGAAAAGAACCCGAGAAAATCCCAAAATCCCCAAAATAAAAAATAAAATCAAACTCCAGAAAATTCCCTAAAAATAATCAAACCCCGAAAAAGTCTCAAACTCTACAGAAAAAAACGTGAAAAGCCTCAAATGCAAAAAAAAACTCAGCCTCAAAATGGCGGCGCTTCCGCTTCCGTCCGTACAAGATGGCGGCGCTCGTATCCCCCTCAGAGCGGCCATTACAAGATGGCGGCTCATGTGAAGGTCGTTCCGTACAACATGGCGGCAACGGAAATGCTGTGCCCGAAGAGAACCGTGCGTGCTGACGTCACTTCCTGCGGCGTGCAAGATGGCGGCGCGCAAGGCGCTCCGGCTCGGTGCGTCCCCGGGAGGCCCCGGGAGGGCTTCTGTGGGGTGGGGGAGGGGCGGGA